TGGCCCAAACAATGCCATCGCGGCTATAATATATATATATATGCCTGTATATACAATAACAATAACAAATGAGCGTATAATGAAAAATAATCAAAAATTAACAAAAGCGGAAGTCAAAGTCGCAGCACGAAAGCGCTGTGTAATTTTTTTTTTGTGTCTTTTCTCTTTCGCGCCTTCCTGGCACGAATACCAAATGCGAATATGAATATTTTTGTGAGAATTCTCAACAGCGTTGCAACAGGCAGACGGACGGACGGACAGACAGTCGATAGACAAATAACTTAGCGAAAATATTATGAAAGCGCCCGGCGTCGCGTCTCAGCTGAAAATGCAAGTGAAAATTGGAATTTATAATTTCGTGCCATGCAGCGCGCCCGATTTTCAACCGCAAACATTTTCGCCCGCGACCCCGCCCTCCCCCAAAAGCCATGAATTTGCCGACAGGCAACTTGTCACTGCGGCTGCCTCTGCTGCTGCTGCAGATGATGATGATGTAATGAGCGACATGCACATCAAGTGACAGAGCACAAGTTGCGCATACGCCGCATTGTACGGCTCAACAGAAGCGCAGAGAGCACAGCGCATCAACAATCTAAAGATAAAAGCAAACAGTTGCAGCTTCTGCTTTTGCACACACTAGAACTGACCTAAAAACCTTTGAAATGAGTGCAACAAAATTAATAACAACGAAGTTTAAAGACGCTTGGCATTAAAAGAATTTATTAAAAAAAGTATGAGGTACTTTCTGACATCAGCTTGAAGTTATTTTATTGAAATAATAAAAAATTATAACTCTTAGCATTAACAGAATATGTTTATAATACTTTAAAAGCATTTTCCAACATTGAATATTTATGAATAATTAAAATAACTAAACAATTTAACATAGAACTTACAAAGGTATAACATGTCTTAAAGGCATTCTCTTCAAAAATGAATAATAATTATATTTATAAAAAGAGACGAACTTTAAGCTGATACACATATCGATAGATATTACTCTTCAACTTATGCCACACTACAAGTTTCCTACCCAACACTGTTTTTGCTATTAAAGCTATTTTCATAAAAAATATGAATAAGAACAGCTCTTAGCATTAATAGAATATGTTTGGCAAACTTAAAAAGCATTTTCCAACATTGATTTAAAGCCATTTATACTAAAAATAAAAATAAACAATTAGGCCTAAAATTAACTGAGTGACAATATATCTTAAAGAAATCGTCTTCAAAAATTAATAATAATTGTATAGAAAGAGACCAACTTTAGCCTAATACACATATCGATAGATACTGCTGTGCAACCTGTGCCACACTACAAGTTTCCTACTCAACACTGTTTTTTCCAAACACATGACATAAGCCGAATACATTTGCCTGCAAATAGAGCGAAGTGTGCAACTAGCTGCTGCTGCTGCTTCTGCCACATTATTTTGACATCTGCACGTGCTGAGCAGCCACCGCCCCCGCCCCCGCCACGCCTCCCCCCATATAAAAGAGACTATAACCCAGCCAAGTTAAGTATAGCACCTAGTGCTATGTCGGGTAGCTCACATTTTGTTGATGTTGCGTGCCCCTTTTTATGCCAGTTGTAATTTGCTCACATGAGACAAAAAAAAGGCAGCAGCAAAAAAAAGTCAACTCATAAAAATAATGTTAACCACAGTTGTTGTTGTTTCTGTTTTTTTGTCATTGTTGTTTGTTACAGTTGCGCTGCAAGCAAAAACAATAAGCCAAGCCATTGTGCAAGCCAAGACAATCTTTTTATAGTCCACACAGCTCTATATATATTATATATAGACAGTAATTATTAAAAAAGAAATAATTAAATAAATATCGACCAGTTATTATTATCGCACTTCAATAGAAATCTCCAAGGTACTCGAAACGCATTTAATATTATGCTAAATCAAGTTGATTAGCTAATTAACTCGATTGTTTTTGTTTTCTTTTTTTGGCAATATATTCGCGCTTTGTTTATAAAATTGATGGGTCACATAAAAGATAAAAAGCAGAACCCAAAAAAATACATATAAAAAAAGTGAACGCAATGCATAGAATTTGTTGTACTTTGCGAACAAAGCAATTTAATAAAAAAAAGCCCAAACTCGTTTATAGCCGGAGCCGGACATGTAAGCAACCCCCCCCCCTTCCCCCACTCCCAATTCTGCTCCAACGCATGAGGCATAAATGCGCTCACAGTTCAAGTCGTTTAGGTATCCACTTTCAAGGTTGCAGCGCGCGCCAAGAACCAAGAAATACAAAAAAAAAAGGAAAAACAAACCGAAAGGCGGCAGCTGTCATACATTTAGCATTGCATTTGGGTGTGGGTCCGCCTGTCCGTCCGTCCGTCCGTCCGTCCGTCCGTCCGTCTGTTTGCCCCACTTTTAGTTCACTTGAGGTTGACAAGAGTCAGCCTCAAACGTTTGGAAAGGCGCAAGCTTGCCACCGTGTGGCACATGCCAAAGCGGCCAGCAGTTGCGCAATTTGCGGCATGATTCATAAACAGCAATTAAAACAATATAAAACGCGCGCAAGCGTACGCAGTGCTAGCAGTTACCCTGTAAGCAGCATTGATATGTCTAGTTTCTATAAACTGCGAGTTGTGCCCAAAATAATATATAAAATATATACATATATAATAAAATGGGTTTCTTAAGTCGCAGAGTCTTTCATCTGCACAATATCTTTATATCCAAGCTAGAGTGCAGGGCTAGCAGATACCCTGTATTGATATGTCTTGCTTCTATAATCTTAAAATAATATATAATATATATATAATAAAAAGAGTTTCCAAAGTCGCAGAGTCTTCCATCTGCATAAAACCTTTATACCCCCCCCCCCCTCTCCCTCTTTTAATGTCTGCAGGGTATTAATGGCTGTGTGGCTAGTCAGCATGTTTTGTTGCTTTTTTTTTACACACTTAAGCCGCTTAGCAAAAGACTTCCTTCTGCGCAGGAACGGCCTTGGCGTGGTGCGAGACGTAGTTTCACGCACGCCGAGAACAGTTTCAGAATGCGTCTGTGCTATAAATAAAACTGGCAACGGGCAACTGGCAACGGGCTTTTGGCCAGCACGGCCTTGGCCAGCTTGGCGAGCGCAGCTTACATAATTAATTGCAATAAACAAGTGCCTTGGGGCTGGGCCACGTACCACAATATATACTAGACGTATTTTTAAGTCTGGCATGCGGAAAATCGGCGCGTGCAAACGAAAGACTTAAGACACGAACTTGACTGGCGACTGCCAACTGGCATTGCACATCAATCGCCAGCGACGGCGTCTCAATTAGCACTTAATGCACTCTTAACCGCATATTGTTAGTCAATTTCATTAATTATTTTACATTTTACTCGAATTTAACTTTCAACTGGCCGCTCGACAAAAACTTATTTAAATATTTGCCTGATGCTCATATTGTTTGCAGCATAAGGATTATAATTGTTAAGCAAATAAATGTGTGTAATAATTGGTTTATTTCAATGCACTTAACATTTATGTGGCCAACAAGATGCCCAAAAGGCCAGCTAGCTAATTAAATTTCATGTTCGTGCATGTGTGTGTTGGTGTGTGTTGGTGTGTGTGTGTTGGTATGCCATGTGATCATCGCCAAAAAATCAACAGCACGTTCGGCAGACAAAAAACTTTTATACACAATATATTAGCAAGCCAAATGCCAACAACAACAACAACAACAGCAACAATCAAAGCGGTGAAAAGAACGAAATGTTATGCGTTGTATAATATACAAAAAATAAAAACAGTTGAGCAGAGCGAGAGAAAAAACAACAACAAGTTTCTGCTGAAACTTAATCACAGCACTCTAAAATAGAAGATGAAACAGAATTATGTTTTGGGTTTTTTTGCTTCGAGATGCGACATTAAGAGCCGGCGTTGACTCATGAATGAAGAAGAACTACTATGTAACAAAAATTCTGCAATGCAACAAACTAATTGAACATAAGTAGAAGACTTTCAGATGTGTCTCCAGCAGCAGTAGACGCTGCCTTGCCGTGAGATGTTGTTTGTTTTAGTGGGCGTGTCAGCAATGGCATTGTCAAGCAAATCAACAAATATGCAAAAGATGAAACTAAAGAGTAGTTGAGCAAGTCGAAGTAGATATACCCTCTCTTGAACTGTTTAGATATGTGATATATGTGCTGCCTGCAGCAAAAAGAAGACCGAAGACAAGTCCCAGGCAGAAGGAAGCATCTCCGACACCATTAAGTATATATATTCTTGATCAGCTCCCGACTAGAACCTCTTACTTGTTTTAAGCTCAATCTAAGGGACTTGCCTAGCAATAGACAGCCAAAAGTCTCCCAGTCCCAGCTCTTGATATTGATCGCGACTTTATATATACTTAAGCTCATAGTTGTCTACTTTAATGCGTTACACATTACGTGACAAAACTTGAAGACACACTGTGCGAGAGTATAAGAAGTTCTAGAGGACAGAGAAAAAAACCCGTTGAAATTAGAAATTTATTGGCCGCCCGTGGTTTTTTTTTCGGTATTATGCGTGGCATATATCAATTTTATGGCCAATCTGTTTGCTAATTAAAGACCACGCCAACGCAAATAGAAAGCCAAATGGCATTGACTTCAATGGAATTGACCGATTTGACCGCCAGACATTAAAAGCGAGCAACAGCAGCTGCTCATTTGGCTTGCAGTACGCAGCATGCCCTTAATTTGTCAACGAACTCCCTTGAGCTGGAGTGGGGAGGGGGGGAAGGGGGGGGGGTATATTAGATGCACGCCACAGAATGAAGCTAGGAAGAGCCATTCCAAGCAGCTGCTTTGCTTCTCAGACTCACTTTCAAAGCGTGTGACACACATTGCGTACCATGTCTTACTTATATATATATATGTTTATTGATTAATCGCATTGAATGCCAATCACGTGCCAATACACCTGATGTGCCGTAGCTGGACACAAGACGTTCACAATGCGCATAAACAAATCAGCTTGACTTTGAAACTGTTTTCAACACAACAAAAGTTAAATAAAATCAAATTGAAGAAAAACCAAAACAGCCAATTGAAATGCAATGCAAGTAAAAATGCAAAACACAAAAAAAAATGAAGCACACACAATTACGCGCGGTGACATTGGTTAATTTCAGCATACAATATCAAAAACGGCAGAGTTTCGAAATCAAAAGACTTAGGCGACAAACTGCGCAGACGCGCAAGTTCATTGGCTCGCAGATCGATTGGCTGATTGCTTAATAATCGAATGCCGGATTAAAGTTTTTACAATATATGCGCGTATATATATAGAGAGAGAGAATAATTTGATTCCTTTGCACGCGAGCAATTTAATGGTGCGGCCCAGATCTAATCATTTCAAATGGCGCTCAAAGAGTCATTCGCACGAGTTGTTGCCGCCAGCTGTTGTAATTATACTTATAAATAAATAAAAAAAATATATAAATAATAATAATAATTGGTCGGTCTTTTCAGTGCGAGCATAAACACCTAGACGAAAATGATTTCACGGCGCAAGATCATATCGCGTTCCCTGGACAATTTGGATGCGATCGGGCAAGACGAGCAAGAGGAGGATGTTTGGCACGATCGCGAGAAGCTCTTCCGCGTAAGTTTTAAATCAAATTTGTTTACTAAGAGAAAGCATGCTAACTTGGATTCACCTTGCAGGATCACATCAACGAAGTGCTGGCCAAGTGGGAGCAAATCGACGATGAGATTTGGGCCAAGATCATTGTCTTTGAGAAGAATCGACGCGTGGCCAAGGCCTATGCGCGCTCCAATGTGATAACCATTAACGGCTCCAAGCACGGCTTCGATGGCGTCCGGTAAGTAGTACCTTTAGCTAAAGCTCATCCCAACTTCTTACTAACTGCTCCGCACATTCCACAATTCCCATGCAGCATTGGCCTGAACGGCTTTGAGAATCCGATGCGTGATGCCGAGACAAAGGTGATCAAGAAGTCGATCGGGGATGGCTTCAAGATCAAAATGGACGACACCGGCAACATATTCATCAAGCGCTACGGCAAGAGCAGCATCTTTGTGAACAACACCTCGCTGGCCAACGAGGAGACGGTCATCGGAGCCGATATTATGCAAATGCCGCAAATGTCGCTAACGGCCGGCACCTCGTCCCGGCTGTTCGACATGAAGAAGTTCCAGACGAACATAAACCGTGAATGCGCGCGCAGCTATCCGGAACGCAGCCGCCTGGAGCGCCAGTGCCTGTCGGCCGTCTCGCTGGTCAAGTCAAACAATAATCTAATCAATTCGCCGCTCTGGATAATGGTTGTCAATGTCGTTGCCATGGATATGCTAAAGAATCGCTTGCAAACGTTGCCCAAATCTATGGATGCGCTCGGCATGCGTGTCCCCCTCACACAGAGCAGCGAGGATCCCTACTCCACGATCGAGAGTCAAGTGGGTTTAATTTATCCCACGCCAGCTGCCTCCGATGATTCGCAAAACTCGAGCAACTCGAGCAAGGGCAGACGCAGCGTCTTCAGTGCGGCCTTTCTCAACGAAAGCCCCTATGTGCCAAAGGTGAGTCGAAATTTAAAAGTAACTCTTTAGCTTATACTCATTGTGTATTCCATTCTTTTTAGCCGGACTACGAGGTGGCCGCATCCTTGGCGCCAGTTTATACGGAAAAGAAGCGTCAGAAGAATACGCCGCAGCGCAAAAAACAGGATGATCCCTACTATTGCGGCCTGCTGGCACGCATCCCTAATTTCATCAAGTCCAGTAAACAGCAGTGCGCCAGCAAGCCCAAGAAGGAGCCGAAGATCTCGCGCAAGATATCGGCGCAGCATCATCAATTCCTGCTCGCCGCACAGCAGCAGCAGCAGCTGGCGCCGCAGACAACGACGCCAATACCCATTGCCACCTTCCATCACTCGTATTTCCCCTATAAGCTGTATCCGCCGCAGCATCGACTCTCGCAGTCGCAGCTCTCGCTCTGGGATGCGCGCAGTCTGATCAGCGCACATGGTAGGTCCCCAAAAATATGACCAGCATAAAGAAAACTCTCTCTAATTTTCTTCTCACTTGCAGAATGAGCTGGAATTGGAGCTGGCCGTAATTTATTCATCGCCTAGCATTATATTACAATTATTTAGTCAAAGCATATGTTTTCAATTTGGTCAGTGGAGTGCATTTCGCTCAGTTTTGTGATCATAAATTACGCGAAATGCAGCCATCTTTATCGAGCATAATTTTTGGGCGTATTGCCAATAATAGGCATTAACACAGTATACTAATTAAAACGCAGTTATGGATTAGACACCAGAGATGAGATTTAATAATTATGCAATTTGTAATAATTGATTAAAATTTTGCCATAGTTTTTAAATCGTTTAAGACTGAGAACGTCCTAGAGTCGAGTTGTGTGCACAAAAAAAAAAAAGAAAAAAGAATAAGCAAAATATATGAAATATATATAAACGCAATAAATGCGCACATTTTGATAGCAAAGAAAGTATACGGATTTGTTGTCATAGGCAAATTGTTTGCTACTTTAGGCGATTAACTTTTATTGTTTTATTTCCTGTAAATACATTTTCATATGTAAATAAGTTCGAATATAACACACATGTGAACACTATGTAAACGTTTATGCATTAAAAGAAAGTTTTAAAAATTGTGTTTAACTTTTTTCAATCCAACAGCAATAGAAATAATGCTCAAAATTGCTCTATTTATCGTTATATATTTGTAACTTGTTTTTCTGCTTTTGAATTTTATTTGAAAAGACAATCGGACCGCCAAATGCAAGCGAATAATCGATAACCGTAACATATGTTAACCGTAACTATGTTAACCTAACATCTGTTAATTAACATTAAAAGATCGATACATTCAACTCGATAGTAGTTCTGCAACCCTAGTTATCTCGGTTGCCCAACGCCAAGCGGCCGCGTAAAATTTGTAAATTTTAACAATTGTTAGCAATTATTTAATATTTTTACAAAAAAAGCAAAACAAATCAACATTATTACTACATCAGCTAAGGAAAACACATATGTTTGACAAATCGTGCTAAATACGGTAAAACAAATGAAAGTGAACGAGTTCCGTTGGCATTCAAAGGCAACCCAGGCAGAGACAGCAGGTTAGCTTTGTAATACAGCTTATTTTTAGAAATCAATTCCTGTTTAATTTCGGCGTGCTCAAAATTTTCAGTATCAACTAAAATTTAAGCAAGTCTTGGAACTATATTATGTGGAGAACACAAATAATGGGTGAAAGTGCGTTTATTCAAATTTTACCCCAACCTCAGTCCAATGTACAAATTTATAATACCCTTTAACACAATGCAGATAAAAATAAGCAAACGGATCTTTGTACTTCAGACAGGGCTGTCACAATCAAATCCTGTACGTCGGTTACTTCTATTGCGACAACACCAGCAATTGCCCACATGATAATGACGCCCAAGCCCAGGGCTGCAGACTATAACCCAGCAGCCAGTAGTCCCAAGCACACGCCTGCCAAGACGCCCAAACAGGATCCCAGTCTCAACCATTTACAACGTGATCTCAACAGCCCCAGCGCCGCGCTGCGCATGCGCGCCATGCGTGCCCTCAAGTGAGCAGAGAAATTTAACTAATCTTTATCAGAAATGATTGTGTGTTTGTTCTCTGTGCAAGCAGAAGCCCCACCAGAGCCATATACAACAACTTTGATGTGCCACATGCCGAAATAAGCATCATTACAGCCGAGGAACGAAACCCGCCACCGCCGCCAACGCTCCCGGATATTTTGAAGGACGTCATTGTCTACGTTGAAGTGCGCACTGGCAATGATAATCGTTCCGAGGGCGTAAAGACCATCATTGCCAAGCTGGGCGCCCAAGTGAATGATCGTCTGCTGCGGTTAGTTTGACTCTTTGAAACAAATAAACAATATTAATGTTTAAATTGAAATTCATTTGGCAGCAATACCACACATGTGGTCTTCAAGGACGGCCTATTGTCCACCTACAAGCGCGCCCAGAGCTGGAACATACCAATTGTGTCGATATTGTGGATTGAGGCCTGCAAGGTGCAACGACGTCTGTGCGATCCACAACAGTTTCCCATTAGCAATATTCACATGTATGAATACCCCGAACTCTACGGTAAACTGTCGGTAAGTATTCCAATAGATATATTATGCTATGTTTATAATCAGATGCAGAAATCTGGTTTTGCCTAAGAGTTGTAACACGTGCTTGGACGAGCCTCCATTTCAATCTATGCAAATTATTGATAGCTGCCTGCAAATGTGTAAATTATTATAAGCACATTTCATGTCTCAACCGCCGATTGTTGTTGCCAGCCTGCGCGAGCCATCGGGAATTGTAAATAACCCAAGTTTTAATTGTTTCGGGAGTATCAACTCCACTTAAAACTAGTGGCTATTTAATTGGTTTATTGTTGCCATAAAAAACACTGTAAAATAACCAAATTGATTAGTTGTTTGGTTCGCCCCACATTCTTGATAAGACCCAACGAATTGCTATATTATCTGAACAGCGACAATGACTCAGATAAAATCTCTTGTCCAAAAGTTAACAAGCAATTGTCTGGTAGTGTTAAATGCTAGGCCTGGCAGATACCCTGTAAACAGCCGAGCAACCTGCATTCGTACGTTCATGTCTGTAGTTGGCTAGTTAAGATTCTTATGCTAATCTCTGACGACTGATGCCTTTTGGGTATCGGACAGCAGTTGTCTAAAATGGCATGCCCTTTTTGATTAAGTTTGAGCATTGTGTATGGCAAAAATGTCAGCACAAATGCCCAGAAATGGAAGCGAAGCGTTTGAGTGCCGTCTGCAAGTTCACGTATTTTTCGCTCGACAGATTCTTATCACAGACAACAAATGTCAGGCACTTTAGCTGGGCGTGTTGTTGTTTGTTTGTTTGTACGCGTTGGGTTATCTAATTCAATTTGCGTGTAACACAACGTGTTTTGCGGGGCCGTTCTTATCAGTGCCCAGGAAGTTGGTAACATAGCCAAGTGTCCAGGTTGAGAACAAATGCAATTCTTAATACATATTGTACTATACGTACAAGACATTATGTTTTATTACTTATAAATATTACGACAGTTTTTTTTTGTTATTTTTGTTAAAGAAGAAAGACACGCTGACAACTTAAAACCTATTGCACATGCATACGTCTGTTTACCGCCGTTTCGCAAGAATTTTAAATTATTAATATATATAGTAGTAGTTGTATACATATAAAAAAAAAAACGCCTCGCACATTTACATAACTTGATGTACATGGCAACAATAATAATAATATAGCCAAGTCGTCACTTATATAAAAATACTTAGTTACGGTTGGGGTTTTTTTTGATTTTTCTTCTGCTTTTTGGGCTGGCGTTAAACGCGCTGCAGGCAACGTTCTCTGAGATTGTAACAAATACATACACATATTATGTACATTTTTAAAAAATTGTTCGAACAAGACAATACGAATATCATAAAGCCTGGTTCCTTTTAGCTATTTACAAACGAGACAAATGCGCATTAAGTACGTGCGATAATTTAAATTTACACTAAAATGATTTGCGAGTCCTTTGCTGTGCCTGTGCCCTGGTGGAATGCTGCTAGGAACATGTGTGTTGTTTGTTGCGTTGTTGTTTGTTGCGTGGCCACATCACGAGAGCGCCACTTCAAGGCACATCATTATCAAGAAACCAGAGACTGTGCCCCATGTGGCAATTGTGCCATTGCCGCTGGCATGCGCCTCCGGCAGAATATCGTCGGCCACAATATAGATCATGGCACCGGCAGCAAAGGACAGCGCATAGGGTAATATAAGATTGGCAAATGTGACAGCCACTGCGCCGAGCACACCGAAAATGGGCTCCACCATGCCCGACAGCTGGCCATACCAGAGCGAGCGCATCACACTAAATCCGGCTGCATGCAGCGGCAGGCTGACGGCCAAACCCTCGGGAAAGTTTTGTATGCCAATGCCAATGGCCAGATTGCGTGCACTCTCGAATGTGGAGCTGTTCGTGGTGCCGACAGCGCCGAAGCTGACACCGACCGCCAGGCCTTCGGGTATATTGTGCACGGTAATGGCCACCACCAGCAGCATGATGCGTTTCCATTGCGACAACGCCTCCTGTGCGCGCTGCTGTTCCAGCGTCGCCTCCGCTGTGTATGTGCACTGCTCCATGTCGCTAATGCTGCCCTTCTTGCGGCGACGCGACTCGCCACTGTGCTGCACGCTCAGGCAATCCGAGAAGCTGTCCAAGCTCTTGGACGCATGGCGTGCACTCGCGGCGGCACCGTTGCGCTTCAGCTCGTCAATGGCAATGTCGGCCTTGTCCTTGCTCTGCGTCATCTGTATCATCATGTTGGTGCTGTTCAGGCCCAGATACGACATCAGCTTGTCGCAGCCGTACACAAAGATTGAGCCGAGCAGAAAGCCGCCAGCCACGGGCAGGAATGAGTAGACGCCATACAGATGCGAGCTCTCGGCCATTTCGATGGCCGGTCCAAGCAGCGACCAGAACGAGGCGGCGATCATGACGCCCGCCGCAAAGCCCAGCGCCGCATCCAGTGAACGTCGCTGGGTGCCCCGCACAAAGATGACCATCGCGGCACCGGCGGCCGTCAGGCCCCAGGTGAGCAGCGTGCCCAGCAGGGCTTGCGTGACGGGTCCATAGCCAGCTATCATCTTGGCAGTCTGTCTGATTAGGTTTCGCCTTTTTGGTTTAGTGCCTGTCGCTGGAGTTTCTTATAATTTATGTACTCGTGTAGGCGTTATCGCGGTCTATGTTGGAGAAGAAGAAACAAAAACAAGTTTTGTTTGTATCTTCTTTTTTAATTATTTTCCAAGCTACTGCAACAGATTTTGATGACACGCGGGCAGAGGGGCCGGCGGGGCGCAAGTTTGTTTACTTGCTGCAAAGTGCCACGTTCCTAGTTGTTCTTCGCACTGATTCTGTGTTGTTGTTGTTGCTAGTTTTGTTTTTGTTTTAATTGTAGCTCCGTTTGACAATTGTGGCAAAACAAACAATATTTTCGATTTGTTTTGGCTCTCTCCACACCTCGTCTCTCTTTCCCTTCGCTCGCAGCTGCTGCGAATGAATTTCGGCTTTAGGTCGCTAAGGGGTGTTCGGGGTTGCCACACTTGTTGCTTATCTAGCGCGGATGCGTTCTTTAAGTGGAATTGTTTATAGTTTATAGAATGTTGTACTATCGCGTAATACTGCTAGTTAAAAGTTTTATTCGTTATGTTTGTGTTTTGCGAGCGCGACCGACAGTGAATGAGCCGCAGACTGAGGCTGTCGGCTGTGCTGTAGCAATTTTTATACAACGGCGGTGGTTGCTCTTGCTCTGCTCGTTGCCCAGAACGGCGCAAGCGCAGTGAGCAGAACCAGGGCTGCAATATCCACGGGTCAGTGTTGCCACACCTGTGCGCGATTAAAATTCAAATAAAATCGTAAAACGCATTTAAATCAGCTTAAACTTTGAAGTTTGTTTTATTTCAAGACATAAAACTTCAATAGGTTTTTTGAAATATGGTTTTTTATGCATAAAATTGCATTGAGAGAGCAGTAAAAACTAGTTTTCACCACTTGCGGACTAAAGAGAGCGCCCACAAGAGATAATATCGCGCTAATATCAACAAATGACAGCAACGGCTAAGATATCACGTACATTATAAACAAATAAAACAGTGGTTTTTAGCTAAAAAGTGACTGACAGAAGCAGTTGCGAAAGCAGCAGCAGACGCAGTAGCAGTAGTCGCACCAGCAGTGCGCAACAACAAATCCCTCTATTGCCTTATCAGTTGACGTTGCGTTCGGCTAATCAGTGTCCGTTGTTTATTTCATGCCCCATTGCAGCGCGTGCGTTGCATGCAACCGGATTCCGAGCTGAATAAGCGGCCGCGCAAGCGCCAGGGCACGCCCACAGGCACCAAGGATAAGGAGAATGATGCCCAAAAGCGATCGGCACTAACACAAACAACCACGCCAAAGGTAAGTCCTGATTTTCCTACCATTAACCAGGTTACATATGTATATTAAGATTTTCGAATTCCAATCTTGCAGAATGACATCACGCGCTTCTTTAGGCCACTGAGCCAGACCAAGCACCTGGCCGAAGGCGAGTCCACAGAGTCGCCGGCTACCAAGTTACTAAATAGGTAAATTTCAATCGCATTTGCTGTAAAAATTTCTATCTCAAATCATTTTTAATCAAATTGTTTGGGTGAAAATGTCCAAATTCTAAATGTGTGTTTCCTTCCTCTTTTTTTAACCACAGAATGACTAACGGCTCTTTCACGCCGCTCAAAATGCCAATCCCGGCAGACACAAGCGTCCCCCAAATGGACAAAACAAATGAAGTTGATTTGGATCGCATTGGAGATTCCGAAATTGAAAAGCCAACGGCCCAGAAGAGCCTAGACTTCGGCGAGGGAAAACGTGCCACCATGCGCAGGAGCAATTCCCTAACAGTGCAGCCAACTAAAGCATCCACACCGTTGCGCGCAAGTCGACGCCGGAGTTTGGCGTGCGGCGCCACAACGGCAGAGCTTGACGCTCATAAAGTGCAATCGGAGCCGCGTGTGACACGGCGGCGCAGCAGCTTAATGAACATGTCCCAAAAAAGTAGCATTGAAGAGGAGAACGGGCCAGCGCCAATAGCAGAGCCCGAGCCACGCATGACACGTCGCCGCAGCTCCTTGCAGCTAGCTGCACCGCCGATTGCAGGATCAATGTCCGAGCCGCCGGTGCAACCGGAACAATCGATTGTACGTCGTCGCAGCGTCTCGACTATGGAGCCCAGCACGCCGAAGCTGTTGAAGAAGCCCACATTTCAAGCCATCGCCGAGGAGCCCTTGGTGGAGTCCGCAACTAACAGCTCGATGGACATGAGCACGCCTGTGGCTCAGGCCAAGACAGCGACAATATTTAACAAAACAAACTATGTGCAACAAACGATGGAGATGTGCATGTCGCGCGCTGTTATCATTGGCAAATCAACTGAACGCCGCACGCTGTACACGACCGACCACATGGAGATAAGCGAGGTAAACGATGAGAACAGAAATCCTTACCTGAAGCAATCCATGGAAAATGTGACCACACAAACATCTCTGGACAGCTTCGGTGAGCACACGCCGGTGCCGGTGTTCAGCTCAACCCGGCTGCCAGGCAGCGGCGGTGGCAGCTCCGTCAATCGTCGACGCTCGCTCTTCAATGTGGACCTGGAGCTAATTCATGAGCGCATCAATACCATAAATACAACGTCGCAAAGACGCTCGCTGGCCTTGGCCAATGAGGCCGAGCTGGGCGAGTGTCGTACCGTGGCGCCACTGCAGGCAGTGGCATTGGATGCAATAAACAAGGAACCGAAATTGACTGAACCAAAAATGAGGCGTCTCTATACGCCAAACGAGGATATTGCCGTTGTGCCATCATCATCATCATCATTTTCGAGCGGTAAATCACGCCAAAGCAGCAGCGGCAACAGCATCGCCTCAACCGACACAGTAAAGCGACGACGCACTTTGGGAGTTGGTGTGCTGAAGCCAACGGCAGCGGTTGGTCCAACTCTGCAGAAAAGTGATCCCGCTAATGAGGAGTTTATGACACCGTGTGGATCGGAGACAACAATAGATAGCGCATCCGAGTCGCATGGCGATTGCGTCAGGTCGGCAAAAAAGCGACGCACAGTCTTTACGATGGTGCACACCAACATGCACAGGGATCAGGTGCAGGTCATCCATAAGGTTGGTAATACGGCAGCGCGGCGTTAAACGACAGACCCTTAGAGATATTTATATATGTTTGTATATTGTATAGATGGGCTAGGCCTTGACTCTTGTGCTCGCTAGTTTGTAGTCTCGTCCCTATCCTATGCAAAGGTAGTTCAATTGTGATTATAAGGAGAGAGATTTATTCAAATTCTTTAGTTTATAATCACAATTGTGTCATTTGTTTTAATTAAGCCCTAGCTCATGAATTTCGTAATTATTGATAAAACATGGTTAACCCGCAGTAGTCGTAAAATAATAATTTCTTCAGCTTTCACACGAATAAATTACACATCGATTATTTACAACAAAAACAACAAAAAAAAACAAGTCAAAAACAAAGTTAAGTTTGTATTTGTGTAGCCAATTAATGGTTTTGCCATTAATTATCCAATATCTTCCAATTGACCTTCTGTTTTGTGACACGCCATCTCAGGCCATACGCAAACTGCGTGGAATGCGCCTGGATCCGACGGTCACCAAGCGCACCACCCATCTGGTTAGCCTGGAGCCGCGTCGCACGCTAAATCTATTGCGTGGCTTGATGCGCGGCGTCTGGATTGTCAGCTACAAGTGGATACTCGAATCGATGCGTGTCGGCAAATGGGTGAACGAGGAGAAATATGAACTGACTACATTTTCGCGAGCCGTTGAGGTGAGTTGGCCCAAGATATTCATCAAAAGTGAACATTGCTTTAATTTATCCCACCCCAATCCTTGCCAGATTTGCCGCACCGAACGTCAGGCCTTCGGCCTATCCTATCGCTGCGAACTATTTCGCTACATGGAGATCTTCTACGTATCATCCCTGTGCCGACCCATAACCTTCAATAATATCAAGGAGCTTTTGCTGCTGGGCGGTGCCAAGTTAACTGAGAATCGATATAAGGCTAAGTTTATTGTGGGCGATAAGCGTCGCGCCGAGGACGATCGCATCTATTTGTCACCCCTTTGGGTGCTAGATAGTATATCGGCTATGCAAGTGCAAAAGTTTGGTAAATACTTGATGAAGTGCGCCATCGTAACGCCCTATGGAATACGTTACGAGGATCCGTGTCAAGAACAGGAGGAGAAACCACGACGGCATCTAAAGGTATGCTATAAAGATCCTGCTCTAGTGATTAATAAATAGATGCCAGCAGCCAGCCTAGGCAGCAATTTAAAATGGCTTTGCTCAACTATTCAATGGATTATTCCAAAGACTTTTGACGAGGTGAACAAATGTGTTTGTTGCCAAATTATCCATTCATGTCATCGTCGAGAACTACTCAATTAAAAAACGAGTCAAGCGTTCCAAGTTGCAATTATATGATTTATTTCAAAAACTCTTGTATTTTCATTTAACTGAGGTAAAGTTCTGTTGTATAGTTCTGCAGTTGCTTGTACTTTGCGTCGTTGTTTGTACTTTCGAATATTTTTGGCAGACAAAATCATAAAATTGAACAAAGCTGAAAAAACGAAAAAGTCGCAACCCAAAATCATGTGGAAACAGAATAAATACAAAATGTGTTTATTTGTTGTAAATAAAGTTATTTATCTTTTTGCTTCTAGGTATTGTTTTTTTTTGTTTCTTGTTTCAAAATTAGTGTACAAAGTAGTTGTGCAAAAAAAATAGGGATAAGATATATAGGAAAATCAAAACTTTAATTTTAACGAATACACAATATATAAATGCTATACGCCTGCGCTACTGCTACACAAATTATACGAACTATGAAATATGATATCATTATAAAATCAATTTAGTACAATATCATAGATATATGTAGGTAAACTTAAGATCGAGGGTGTAAAGTTTTCGTATTCTGCGGCTGTTGCTCCTCTCAATCGTCTAGGCGGCGATGGCGTTTAACATTCGTATCCGACGAAACTCTTTGCGATGGAAAAAATTAAACTTTTGCTTTTGCTGGAACATCATCTTATCATTCATCTTGCCCAGGACAGGTGTTTGTGTTCTACTACTGTTGTGCTTATCATTGTTGCTGTTGTTGTTGTTGCTGCTGCTGTTGTTGTTGTTATTGCTGTTGCTGCTGTTGAGTTGTGGCTGCTCCATCTTGTTACTGTTGTTATTGTAGTTGATGCTGCTGCTGCTGCTGTTGTTGTTATCGATGGAAAGTTGCTACTTCTTGCCCTTGGTGGCCTTCTCGGCGGCCTTGGTGACCTTGCCACCGGAAGCATCCTTGAAGTTGACAGACTTGATGACACCGACAGCGACAGTCTGTCTCATGTCACGCACAGCGAAACGACCCAGAGGAGGGAACTCCTGGAAGGACTCAACGCACAGAGGCTTGGAGGGCACCAAGTTGACGATGGCGGCATCACCAGACTTGATGAACTTGGGGTTCTCCTCGGTGGTCTTGCCGGAACGACGGTCGACCTTCTCCTTGATCTCAGCGAACTTGCAAGCAATGTGAGCGGTGTGGCAATCCAACACTGGAGTGTAGCCGTTGGCAATCTGGCCAGGGTGGTTCAGCACGATGACCTGAGCGGTGAAATCGGCAGCACCCCTGGGGGGGCTGGCCTTTGAGTCACCGGCAACGTAGCCACGACGCAGCTCCTTGACGGAGACGTTCTTAACGTTGAAACCAACATTGTCACCGGGAACGGCCTCGGTGAGGGCTTCGTGGTGCATCTCCACGGACTTGACCTCAGTGGTGATGTTAGCTGGGGCAAAGACAACAACGCATCCTGGCTTCAGGATACCAGTCTCAACACGACCGACGGGTACTGTTCCAATACCGCCAATTTTGTAGACATCCTGCAGGGGCAGACGCAGGGCCTTCTCAGTTGGGCGGGAGGGTGGCAGGATAGCGTCGAGAGCTTCGATGAGGGTCTTGCCATCGGCGTTACCGTCCTTGCGCTCCACCTTCCATCCCTTGAACCAGGGCATGTTGCTCGATGGTTCCAACATGTTGTCGCCGTGCCATCCGGAGATGGGCACGAAGGCAACGGCCGCCGGGTTGTAGCCGATCTTCTTGATGTATGAAGACACCTCCTTCTTGATTTCCTCATAACGGGACTCGCTGTATGGTGGCTCAGATGAATCCATCTTGTTGACGCCAACAATCAGCTGCTTCACACCCAGGGTGAAGGCAAGCAGGGCGTGCTCGCGAGTCTGACCGTTCTTGGAGATACCGGCCTCGAATTCACCAGTACCAGCAGCAACAATCAAGACAGCACAATCAGCCTGGGAGGTACCAGTGATCATGTTCTTGATGAAATCTCTGTGGCCAGGAGCATCAATGATAGTCACGTAGTACTTGGCAGTCTCGAACTTCCACAGGGCGATATCAATGGTGATACCACGCTCACGCTCGGCCTTCAATTTATCCAAAACCCATGCGTACTTGAACGAGCCCTTGCCCATTTCCTGAGCCTCCTTCTCGAACTTCTCAATGGTACGCTTGTCGATACCACCGCACTTGTAGATCAAGTGACCGGTGGTGGTGGACTTGCCAGAGTCGACGTGTCCAATCACGACAATGTTGATGTGAATCTTTTCCTTACCCATCTTGCTTTATACGAGCTATTGGGTTCAACAGTTTGTTTGTGGGATTCACAGCGTGCATCAGGTGTGTATTTGTGAGGGAGTGTGTGTAAATGGGTTCACACAGGTAGAATCGGCAATCGGGGGGGAAGAAACAGAAGGGTAAACAAAATTTGTTAGCAAAAAATAATTAACATGGGAACAAATATTAGTAAATTGAGTATAGAGAAATTCTTAAGATGGACTCAAATTCATTTTTGCCAACGTTCATAAAATTTGACTCTAGTTCGCATGCCAGCGATTCAACCTAACCTCAAAACGAAACGTGTTTGCGTTCGCATTTTCCACACTTCGGCTTCGTGAGCGCATTCTGCTTTGAGGTTAGGTTTAGCCGCAGCCGCATGTCGCGGTGGTGGAAGTGTGTGTGTGTGTGTAACAAAGGCACAAACGAAACTGGCAACAAAAAGGAACGTGCAAAGAGAAAAAAAATAATTATACAAAAAAGGTCCAATTCGTAACTAGTGTTATATATACACTCGATTTTTCAGTGATTTTGGTATTTTTTGCTTTCGTCAAAATTCTTCAGTAGCAGAACTGAATAAATATCATCATTTAAAATCGAGATAATTAAAATTTAAATGAAATTCAATATGTATACATGTCATTCATACACATATACATATTCAATATACATATATGTGCAAAGAAATTTCCAGCAATTTTAATCTATCCATGTGGCCGTGTGTATGTATGTGTGTGTGCATGACGCTGTTGCCGGCTGCTTTAGTGGCGCAAGTGAGCGAGCGAGAAAGCAAAGTAAAATGGCGACCGGGGCAATACGAACAAAGGCAGACGATCAGGCAGTGGTTAGCTGCGCGATAGAGAAGCAGCGATCGAAGAACTAAAGTGCATTGCTGACTTCCAGCCATCTTGGTCTAGAGTTATTCACATGTGCTGGTATCGTGTCATTTCTGATTTCGCAATATTGAATAAAATCAATTCGGATACATAGGCCATGCCGGTGTGGGCACCGATTGACTTTGTTATTGCAAGCACTTTTATTCAGTCAGTCACACCATCGCTTTGTGAGCCGCCATCTTGAAATTCTATGCCCATACGTATAGAGAAAGGCGGAAAATTTCGCGCATGCAAAAAACCACGTTTGCTGGTGAAATTTTGCAACTTTCTTGCATTTGCAACTGGTAAAACAATTTTTTGTTTTACGGTGTTAAACATATTACACCGATACAAATTGACTTGTGTGCGCTCTAATTAGCCGTAGCTAATAATCGACCATCCACATGTGCCACGCACATGTGGGCGTGGCATCCGCAGCAATTACACCATATTGCAGAAAACAAAGTGACTCATTTGAGCCATTAAATATTATAAACAATTTAGCTATGGTGTAATTTTCATTGTGCTGTTTGCCACGTGTTTGCGCTGCAGTCATCGTCACCACCTTTCACTTTGCGCCGCCTTATAGGTTAACTTTCGAGTGCACAGATACACATACACATCACAGTTTAACAAATATGCACATTTGTAAAGTCCAACTGCATATTTGTTTATAAACTAATTGTTTGATGCACTAGGCTAGTTCGTTGCACATATTTGATTTAAACAGGTATGCATCTAAATTTCTTTTCACTTGGCAACAGAACTTACTCTCGAATAAATTGAATGAGAAATCACAAAGTCTATGCTATTCCGGCGACAGACTTGAACAAAGTGAACGAGCGTTCGGCGTAACAGGAAGCTTGTAGCCTCGTTTCTGCAAGCGTGGCGTTACAGAGTTGCACCGCGAATATCGAGTGCATAGCGTACAGTGTGGCCGTTTTATGCGATTTTGTTATTCTAAAGTAAATATTCATGTTAAATGGTGGAGTGGTCTATGTTAAGTGCGCACTCACTCCCCCAACAGTGTTATAAAATGTCAATGACGTGGCTTAACCCATCAAAACGAATCCAATTCTCGCAAAGCATTTGACCGGCCTGGACGTATATTTTCATAGCAGGCGGTTGAGAGACAGTATTCATAATATACATATATATATAGAAATATATATATATTTCTGATTTTAAATAATAAGTAACGTGAAAACAAACTAACGAAATGTGGCGCTTAGTAGCTGCAGTGCTTATTTACGGTTTTATCGCTACTGTTGCCGGCGCCGAACATGATGTGCTGGAACTCGGTGACGACAATTTCGTATCCACTTTAAAGCAGCATGAGACGACATTGGTTATGTTCTATGCACCCTGGTAAGTGGGCTGTGGGCGTGGTCATTTACATTTGTCGCATCATAATTGTTAGTATAAAAATGCACTTGTGTCGCAATTAATCGAATTAAAAGTACACGTCAGCGCTGCCGTGCGAAAAAAGGGCACGTATCGGGATTGACATGTCATAGTCGGCCATTTTAGTAGAAACTTGTGTACACACATATGTATGTGCAAATAGAAGCTTTTTATGTGTGTGCGGGCTGATAAAGTAAGCTGTAAACTTGTCTGCCCTGCCTTGTGCATGTACATATGTATATACACATGTACTATGTGTGTATGTGTGTTCGTGGTTTGGTATTTGTGTAGACAAAGAAGAAAGCAATTCTTCTTCCAGCTTGAAATGCCGGCCGGGCCGGCCACATCTCAAGCGAGCCTTATCAGCTGGAGCATAAGCACAGAACAAGCTATTTAATTGAGTCGTTTTTCGGTTGTACGATAAGACGCATTAAATGTACGCTGATAAAAGGCGCAACTAGTTTTCTAATTATTCCCTGTAAAAAAAGCGACATTTCCGAGCCGAGCCGAGCCGAGTCGATTAAGCTACGTCCGTAAAGCAAGCACAGTCAACAAATATTTTATATGTATATCTTTAAGGGTATTTCAACTTCGGCTCCCCGAAGATAAGAGCTCTCATTATTTTAGAGCTCTCCCAAATTATTTGGAGAACTATGTGACGTGTCTTAAAACATTTTACATTCATTTTTTAGGTGCGGACACTGCAAACGCTTGAAGCCCGAATACGCCAAAGCGGCTGAGCTAGTCAAGGATGACGACCCACCAATCAAATTGGCCAAGGTAAACTTAATGAAAATTCAAGTCGTTTAATGCGCACACTACAAACTCATATTCTCGTGGAACAGGTCGATTGTACCGAGGCTGGCAAGGAGATTTGTAATAAATTCTCTGTCAGCGGTTATCCCACGCTGAAGATTTTCCGCCAGGATGAGGTGTCGCAGGATTACAATGGACCACGCGAGGCCAGTGGCATTGCCAAGTACATGCGCGCCCAGGTGGGACCCGCCTCCAAGCAGGTGCGCAGCATTGAGGAGCTCGCCAAATTCCTGGACACCAAGGATACCACAATCTTTGGATACTTTAAGGATATTGACTCTCAATTGGCCAAGACCTTCCTGAAGTTTGCCGACAAGAACCGCGAGAAATATCGCTTTGGACACAGCGACAACGAGGCCGTGCTGAAGCAGCAAGGCGAAACGTAAGTGAGGGACGAGTGCATGCGCAAGAATCAAGATGGGGTACATGGATATGGGATATCCATGCATCTATAACTCATAACTATATATATTTCTTAAGTTTAATAAATAGTTTGTAATATCTTGTTTTATACATTGCAATTCGAGTCATATTGCAATTTTCAAGCCAGATTTCATAGTTTTCTAAGTTTCTAAGTTCGTGGAATAATGTATTTTAGTCGTTTAAGTAGAGGGAATTCCAGTGAAATCCAACTATTAATCGCATGCAATTTGTATTATCTTCCATACAGAGATAAGATTGTGCTGATACGTGCCCCACACTTGAGCAACAAATTCGAGTCTTCCACTATTAAGTTTGAGGGCAGCTCCGAGTCCGATCTGAGCACTTTCATCAAGGACAATTTGTAAGTTACACTTAATTAACTCCGTTAACTGCTCGGTCAGCTAATGTTTCATTTTGCAGCCATGGCTTGGTTGGTCATCGCACCCAGGACACATCCCGCGATTTCCAGAATCCTCTGATCACTGCTTACTACAGCGTTGATTACCAGAAGAACCCCAAGGGCACCAACTACTGGCGCAATCGTGTGCTGAAGGTGGCCAAGGAGTTTGTCGGCCAGATAAGCTTTGCCATCAGCTCCAAGGATGATTTCCAGCATGAATTGAATGAGTATGGTTACGATTTTGTTGGTGACAAGCCCGTCATTTTGGCCCGCGACGCCAAGAATCTCAAGTATGCGTTGAAGGAGGAGTTCTCCGTGGACAGTCTGAAAGACTTTGTTGAGAAGTTGCTGGACAACGAGCTGGAGCCGTACATCAAGAGTGAACCGGTGCCAGAATCGAATGATACGCCTGTTAAGGTGGCCGTGGCCAAGAACTTTGATGAGGTGGTCATCAACAATGGCAAGGATACGCTGGTCGAGTTCTATGCCCCCTGGTGCGGTCACTGCAAAAAACTGACCCCCATCTACGAGGAGCTGGCTGAGAAGCTGCAGAACGAAGAGGTGGCCATTGTCAAAATGGATGCCACTGCCAACGATGTACCGCCAGAGTTCAATGTGCGCGGCTTCCCCACGCTCTTCTGGCTGCCAAAGGATTCAAAGAACAAGCCCGTCAGTTACAATGGCGGTCGCGAAATCGATGATTTCATCAAGTACATTGCCAAGGAGGCGAGCACAGAACTGAAGGGCTACGACCGCAGCGGCAAGCCCAAGAAGACCGAACTGTAGACGCCAATTCGCTGTCTGCGTACATCTAAATTAGCGTGTAACTCAAGTAGCATTTCCATATTTTTGTAAAATCGAATGCATTCTCAGCCAACAGCCAACCGCAAAAGCAACAAAAAAACACATGTGTATTAAATTATTTAATAGTGTGATGATTTCTTGAAATTCAATTAATGCTGTCAATAAACGTAATAACTACTTTCATCTTATTAACATATTGTATTGTACACATAAGTATTGTAATACGCTCAAATTTGATATCGAACTTGTGCATTCAGATGGTCCATGTGCTCCTCCATCAGAATCCGAAACCAGTCGGGTATAAACGAATGTTCATTACGCTCCTTAGAGTATTTGTAGGTGATATTTCCGTTCTTTGAATCGTATTCTAACAGATAAACCGTGCTGGCGCTGTCCACGTTTGCCATCAGCAGCTGGATTGAGCCTAGCAGACGTCGCATAAAATTGCCACATATATTTGGCGACCAGTCGTTATCCTGTAAGTACTTCGTTATAAATTTATTGATAAAGCCTTAAATGATTTCGACTACTCACGCATTCCCGCCACAGCTCGCGAACCATTGTGTGTTTAATCTTTTGCACGTAGCCTTCCTTATCGTGGTAGGCAATGTAAACCTTCTCAATGCCAACTAGGAAGGATTCGACCCACCATTTGAGAACATCCTTGCGATTATGGGCTGACCATTCGGTACGGCTCATCGTATCCAGGCGCATCCTTAGATCCACGAACGTTTTGGGCAATCCAAAGCTATGAAGAACAAGAAAATTTATTATTGGGCTGCCGTTTTACATGGGTACGTGTACTTACAATGGATTTGGACAATGCTCAGCCAAGATGGGGGCATCGAATAGAACATGTAAGCCACATATATCTATACAGAACACACAATAGTATTGTCCATTCAGATCCTTTTGCTGATAAGAACCGGGCTGGACAATGTCATCATCTGAAATTGGAGCTATATAGGGCGTATCATTATGTAACAGCTGGGCTTATGTAGTTACCCATGGCTACCAGGCAGCGTTGTCGCAGTTTTGCCATCCAATGGTCCATCATTAGTTTCTTTAAATGTTCGGCATCAAAAATCGATTGTGGTCTTTCCGCATTGGGCACTGGGCATATGTATATGGTGTTACGATACTTGCTTACGGCAAGTGTCCAATTATTCTTGTATTCATACGGTGCGCACATCATTAGCTGTAATGTCTCCCGGCTGCACACAATATCCGCGTCCACCTGCAGATGTCCCTTTTCGTGGCGTTTAATAAATTTATCCATTGAACATCGCAAGAAATAGAACAAATTATCCAAGTATCTTGGCTTTGAAAAGGATTGTTCCGAATTCATAGCCTCCCCGCTTGCGTTTAAAGCAAACGGAAATGTGCTTGGCCCCAGTTGGGTTAGGAAACAGAGTCGTACAGGCGAATTCTCGAAATGCCCCTCAGGTGATAAGCTGTATTCGCCAATACGCTGTGGCTGTTTAACGGTGGGAAACGATTCCTTATCTTGCGGCGGTGATGAGCGTGCATTCAGATTTAATATTTTATAATTTGAATACATTTTAACACTTTTAATGCGAGATTTTCGCGTGTAAAGTTTGACGTCGTTAATTATTTTGAATGGTGCGCGAAAAACAGTTAGATGCCTTGCTCTTCTTCTATGCTTAACATTCGCCACGAAAATGTAAACAAACTGTTGCGCGGGCAGCTGAATGTTTGTATTGTATATTTAGTATTTTCGACGGCTGCGGTCACACTACAACCGGGCAGTTGCATTGCACGTGTTTTAAAGTTTCGCATTGTTAATACGTCCGCTTAGATATTGTGCTTTAAAATTAAGTTTTAATGCAAGCCAAGACGTAGTTATGGACGTGAATATTAACAAATTGCGACGTGGTGTACAAAAGCTCTTACAGCTAACCGCCAGTGAGCCCCAGGACGATGTGTTCATTTTGAATTTGCAGAAGTTCCTTAAGAAGAAAGTAAGTTGATCAAAATTTCAAATTATAAGAAAATCCCTCAATAGCATTCAAATTTATTCAAGCTCTGCGTGGAGAAAGATGTGGACCGATTGTTTAACAGTCTAAGCCAGCAACTTACGCTGCCTGGGTACACCTTGCCCCTAGCCTTGAGCTTTGAGGAGCACCTGCTGCTCCTGCTGACCATGTCGCTGCGCTGTGATGCAGCCACTCAGGCCCAACAATACAAATTGGAGTGCATTGCTTTGTCCAGGTTGTTGCAGATTTCAGTTGCGGCAAAAAGGTGAGTTGCTGCCCAATAAACTAAGCCAGCATAACAGTTTTTATGCCACACTCAGATTTGCCAAGAGCTACTTTCGCAATAAGCCAGCACCATTCGAGGCGACTGAGAGCAATGAAAGCGTGCAGATACCCAGTAAAAAGACCAGAAGGACATATACAAATGGCTCTAAGGAATCGAAAGATCAGCAACTGGATTTGGAGATCGTCAAGTGCTGCTACCACCTGTTGAAAAGCGATGCAGTCTACTATCGGGAGCTCTGGGACTGGTCACAGTTCCTGGCTAACTATACACACAAACAACTGGAATGTCAGCTGTCGCAGCTGTACTGCAATCACATCTTGGCCCTGCTGACGGATATGACCACAACACAATTGCATGCGCTGAACTCGTCTGTGCCCGTCCAAGTGCAGCTGCGGTTCGAGGAGCAGAAGACGCTGCCGACATACACCAAATGTACCTATCTACCAGATCTGCCGGAGCAACAGCTCACGTTGAAGCTGTCGCAGGCCAACCAAACGGTAACCAATATCGAAGGTGTGCTCCTGCCCATCTTCAACCAGGAGAATCAGGTATTCTATGCAGAAACCGATGGGTGTTACGATCGCATTGTCATCGTGGACTCGACCAGTGTAAATTTGCGTAGCATAGCGCTTGGCGTGGCCGCTGCAAAACCCATTTGCCTCTCGGGACCCGTTGGTTGCGGCAAAACCACTTTAATAGAGTATCTGGCGCGCAAGACTGGACGCATTTGCCCCAAGCCAAAGGAGATTGAAACACGTGAACAAGCGCTGCGGCAAGCGCAAGAAGAGGAAGAATTACTCAAACCGAAAAAGAAACCAAAAGCGCTGAAGAATGCGGGGGAGAAGCGCAAAATTGCCGAGGTACCGATGGAGGAGCTGATGGTGCTGGAAGATGGAGACGGGCTGGCGCAGAGGAATGGTTTCCTGCGCATACAGCTGGGTGATCAGACCGACAGCAAAATGCTATTGGGTCAATATCGTTGCACAGATGTGCCCGGCGAGTTTGTTTGGCTGCCCGGCGTGCTGACACAGGTAAGCATAATATATAGTTGTCTTGATTGACCCGAAGTCATCCAGTTAATATACAAATATATCAATTAACAGGCTGTCATGCATGGCTACTGGCTGCTATTGGAGGATCTAGACGCTGCCACGCAGGATACCTATACAATATTGAGCAGCCTCTTGGAGCGCAACTATCTGAGCGTGCCTGGTTTCAGGGATTGCGTCAAGATTGAGCCTGGCTTTCAGCTGTTTGTGACTGTGCGGTAAGTTGGCCGACTTTGCAGCTTGGAGTTTTTAACCATTATACTAAATTCTCTATGGCAGCACCAACAAATCGTCCAGCAACTCCAGTCAGAAATCGTTGTACTCTCTGCTGGAGAAGTATCTATATACCATCAACATATTGCCGCTGTCCCGCAACGAACTGTGCAAAGTTGTGAGCACAAATTATGCCAAATTGGCGACCGTTGCCAATCGCATTGTCGATGTCTTCTTGACCTTCTCCAGTGGCAATCACACGGCTGCCGATAATTTGCGTCAACAGGAGAGCAGCGACAAGGCAGATACCACGGAGAAATATGTAGCGCTGCCCTTCGAACAGGTGACACTCTCCGGCATGCCCAATTCGGGTCGTCTAGTGTCTACGCGGGATCTAATCAAGTTGTGCCAACGCGCAAATGCTCAGTTCTCGGTGACCAGCGCCGAGTGCGCTTACTTTGTCTTCCAAAATGCCGTTGATGTTTTCTGTTCGTATCTGCCGCAGAGCAAGGAGAAGACAGCTTTGATTACAAACATTGGCGCCAAGTTGGGCATCATCAGATCCCGCTGCGAGCATTTCGCCAATGAATACAAACCCGATGTGGAGTTTGGCAAGGAAAACTTTAAGATTGGGCGCGCAACTCTGCCGACCATAAAAGCAGAGGAGGAGGAGCCAAACAATGAAACACAAAGCGGATCGAAGAGACAAAAACTAACAATGCAGTCCACGAAGACAATCTTTAAGCAACCATCGAAGCGTGCCACCTTCTCGTTTACGCGCCTAGCCAGCTGCATACTGGAACGCATTGCGGTCTGTGTCAGTCATTCGGAGCCCGTGCTGCTGGTGGGCGAAACGGGTGTGGGCAAAACCTCGTCAGTGCAGTTTCTAGCAGAGCGCACGGATCATAAACTGGTGGCCATCAATATGAATAATCAATCGGATGTCTCGGATCTTGTGGGCGGCTTTAAGCCCGTCGAGCTGAACTATGTGCTCGCGCCGCTGCGCAATGAGTTTGAGCATATGTTTAGGCAGACCTTCAATGCCGACAAGAATCTGCAGTTTCTGCGCATCTTTGCCACCCACTTTAACAATGGACGCCACAGCGTCATCATACGCACCATGCTGAGTGTGACGAATAGCTTGTTTAGCAAGCCGGAGCACAGGTCGAATCCGTTGCTGCCACGCTGGCAAACGTTGCACGAGAAGCTGCAGCGTCTGCAAATGCAGCTGGACAAGAGCATTAATATATCGTTTGCTTTCATACCCGGCTCGCTGGTCAATAGCATCAGCAATGGAGATTGGGTGCTGCTTGACGAAATCAATTTGGCCTCGGCTGAGACACTGGAGTGCCTGTCCACCATATTGGAGCCGGAGGGTTCGGTTGTGCTGCTGGAACGTGGCGATTTTATGCCCGTGAAGCGACATCCCGATTTTCGTATATTTGCTTGCATGAATCCCAACACGGATATTGGCAAAAAGGATTTGCCCGTTGGCATACGCAATCGCTTCACCGAATTCTTTGTGGATGAGCTGACCACTGATGCGGATCTGGGCTTGCTGGTGGGTGATTACCTGGCCAATACGGGCATACAGCGCAAATCGGTGCACAGCATTGTCAAGCTATACAAATCTCTGCGCCGTCTCTCCGAGCTGCAGCTCAATGATGGCCTCGGCAATCGGCCCGTCTACTCGCTGCGCACGCTCTGCCGCAGTCTGCGCATATGCGCACGGAATTTGTGCGGCTCGATTGAGCGTAATCTGTACGAGAGTTTCTGTTTGAGTTTTCTCACACAATTGGATCCGGAATCGCATCAGCTGGTGCTGCTGCTCATACGCGATGCACTGCTGCAGAATCCGAAGGCTGTGCTGAATAAATCGCTGCCTCAGCTGGGCGAGCATTATCTGCAATTCGAGGGCTATTGGATACAGCTCGGCAGTCTGGAGCCGCAGTCCTGCGAGCATTACATATTAACGGGCAGCGTTAAGAAGAATCTGCAGGATCTGGCGCGCATCATATCCATTGGCAAGCTGCCCATTTTGCTGCAGGGACCCACCAGCGCGGGCAAGACGAGTCTCATTGACTATGTCGCCCGGCGCAGCGGCAATCGCTGTCTGCGCATCAACAATCACGAGCACACGGATCTGCAGGAGTACATTGGCACCTATGCGGCCGATGTTAGCGGTAAGTTGAGCTTTCGCGAGGGTGTCCTCGTGCAGGCCATGCGTCACGGTTATTGGATCATTTTGGATGAACTTAACTTGGCCTCGACGGACATTCTGGAGGCACTGAATCGTGTGCTGGACGACAATCGTGAGCTGTATATAGCCGAGACGCAGACGCTGGTCAAAGCGCATCCGAATTTTATGCTCTTTGCCACACAGAATCCGCCGGGTCTTTATGGCGGACGCAAGACGCTGTCGCGCGCCTTCAAGAATCGTTTCATTGAGCTGCACTTTGCGGATATACCACGCGCAGAGCTGGAGATTATCTTGGAGCAACGCTGCCTCATACCCGCCTCCTATGCGCGCAAGATGGTCCAGTGCATGACGCAGCTGCAGCAGCATCGCAGGAATACCTCAAAGCAGGTGTTCACGCTGCGCGATCTCTTCCGCTGGGGCAATCGGTATACGCTGGCGGACAAGGCACTGCAGCAGGATACCAAATACGATTGGAATCAGCACCTGATTGAGGAGGGCTACCTGGTGCTCTCCGCCAAGGTGCGCACCGGCGAGGAGCTGCAGCTAATTGAGCAAACCTTGTACGGCAACTTCAAGAAACGCATCGACCTCGAGCTGCTCTTCGATATCAGCACACAGCGCGAGTCCTCCGCCGTCAGCCGGCGCATACTGGATGCCATACGCAATTTTAAGCAGCGCGGCGATATTGTCTGGACACGGAACATGACGCGCATGGCGGTGCTCACGGCCAAGGCGCTGCAGTTCGACGAGCCTGTGCTGCTGGTGGGTCCGACGGGCTGTGGCAAGACCACAGTCTGTCAGCTGCTGGCGAGCATTGCCCAGGTGCGTCTCCGCATACTCAATTGTCATATGCACACGGAGGGTGCGGATTTTCTGGGCGG